ATAACCTATCTCAAGGTTTGGGGCTTTTTACCCGTGAATCTTCACTTTGCGACTAAACTATTCACAGCAGTGCCAAATTTTCTGGGTCACTGAATGTGGGTGCCTGCGCCCTACAAGCAAACCAAAAATCAAACAAATGCGACTACTGACATTACAGCTGGGTCATGTTATAGAGAGGTACGTTGAAATTGAAAGGTGAGCACAAATGGTCAAAATCCGACATTTTCTCACCTTTCTGCCCGTTCGCAGCTCAGAAAATGACAATGACCATCCTCATCTCGTTGTGTAGCTGGACATAGACAAGGGCACCCAGAAAAAGACCCACATTTCTCTAAAGAACTCGCCCACGGCTGCTGAAAGCTGAATAATAACCTATCTCCAAGTTTGGGGCTTTTTACCCGTGAATCTTCACTTTGCGACTAAACTATTCACAGCAGTGCCAAATTTTCTGGGTCACTGAATGTGGGTGCCTGCGCCCTACAAGCAAACCAAAAATCAAACATATGCGACTACTGACATTAAAGCTGGCTCATGTTATAGAGAGGTACGTGGAAATTGAAAGGTGAACACAAATGGTCAAAATCCGACATTTTCTCACCTTTCTGCCCGTTCGCAGCTCAGAAAATGACAATGACCATACTCATCTCGTTGTGTAGCTGGACATAGACAAGGGCACCCAGAAAAAGACCCACATTTCTCTAAAGAACTCGCCCACGGCTGCTGAAAGCTGAATAATAACCTATCTCCAAGTTTGGGGCTTTTTACCCGTGAATCTTCACTTTGCGACTAAACTATTCACAGCAGTGCCAAATTTTCTGGGTCACTGAATGTGGGTGCCTGCGCCCTACAAGCAAACCAAAAATCAAACATATGCGACTACTGACATTACAGCTGGCTCATGTTATAGAGAGGTACGTGGAAATTGAAAGGTGAGCACAAATGGTCAAAATCCGACATTTTCTCGCCTTTCTGCCCGTTCGCAGCTCAGAAAATGACAATGCCCATCCTCATCTCGTTGTGTGGCTGGACATAGACAAGGGCACCCAGAAAAAGACCCACATTTCTCTAAAGAACTCGCCCACGGCTGCTGAAAGCTGAATAATAACCTATCTCCAAGTTTGGGGCTTTTTACCCTTGAATCTTCACTTTGCGACCAAACTATTCACAGCAGTGCCAAATTTTCTGGGTCACTGAATGTGGGTGCCTGCGCCCTACAAGCAAACCAAAAATCAAACAAATGCGACTACTGACATTACAGCTGGCTCATGTTATAGAGAGGTACGTGGAAATTGAAAGGTGAGCACAAATGGTCAAAATCCGACATTTTCTCACCTTTCTGCCCGTTCGCAGCTCAGAAAATGACAATGACCATCCTCATCTCGTTGTGAAGCTGGACATAGACAAGGGCACCCAGAAAAAGACCCACATTTCTCTAAAGAACTCGCCCACGGCTGCTGAAAGCTGAATAATAACCTATCTCCAAGTTTGGGGCTTTTTACCCGCGAATCTTCACTTTGCGACTAAACTATTCACAGCAGTGCCAAATTTTCTGGCTCACTGAATGTGGGTGCCTGCGCCCTACAAGCAAACCAAAAGTCAAACATATGCGACTACTGACATTACAGCTGGCTCATGTTATAGAGAGGTACGTTGAAATTGAAAGGTGAGCACAAATGGTCAAAATCCGACATTTTCTCACCTTTCTGCCGGTCGCAGCTCAGAAAATGACAATGCCCATCCTCTTCTCGTTGTGTAGCTGGACATAGACAAGGGCACCCAGAAAAAGACCCACATTTCTCTAAAGAACTCGCCCACGGCTGCTGAAAGCTGAATAATAACCTATCTCCAAGTTTGGGGCTTTTTACCCGTGAATCTTCACTTTGCGACTAAACTATTCACAGCAGTGCCAAATTTTCTGGGTCACTGAATGTGGGTGCCTGCGCCCTACAAGCAAACCAAAAATCAAACATATGCGACTACTGACATTACAGCTGGGTCATGTTATAGAGAGGTACGTTGAAATTGAAAGGCGAGCACAAATGGTCAAAATCCGACATTTTCTCATCTTTCTGCCCGTTCGCAGCTCAGAAAATGACAATGACCATCCTCATCTCGTTGTGTAGCTGGACATAGACAAGGGCACCCAGAAAAAGACCCACATTTCTCTAAAGAACTCGCCCACGGCTGCTGAAAGCTGAATAATAACCTATCTCCAAGTTTGGGGCTTTTTACCCGTGAATCTTCACTTTGCGACTAAACTATTCACAGCAGTGCCAAATTTTCTGGGTCACTGAATGTGGGTGCCTGCGCCCTACAAGCAAACCAAAAATCAAACAAATGCGACTACTGACATTACAGCTGGCTCATGTTATAGAGAGGTACGTGGAAATTGAAAGGTGAGCACAAATGGTCAAAATCCGACATTTTCTCACCTTTCTGCCCGTTCGCAGCTCAGAAAATGACAATGACCATCCTCATCTCGTTGTGAAGCTGGACATAGACAAGGGCACCCAGAAAAAGACCCACATTTCTCTAAAGAACTCGCCCACGGCTGCTGAAAGCTGAATAATAACCTATCTCCAAGTTTGGGGCTTTTTACCCGTGAATCTTCACTTTGCGACTAAACTATTCACAGCAGTGCCAAATTTTCTGGGTCACTGAATGTGGGTGCCTGCGCCCTACAAGCAAACCAAAAATCAAACATATGCGACTACTGACATTACAGCTGGCTCATGTTATAGAGAGGTACGTGGAAATTGAAAGGTGAGCACAAATGGTCAAAATCCGACATTTTCTCGCCTTTCTGCCCGTTCGCAGCTCAGAAAATGACAATGCCCATCCTCATCTCGTTGTGTGGCTGGACATAGACAAGGGCACCCAGAAAAAGACCCACATTTCTCTAAAGAACTCGCCCACGGCTGCTGAAAGCTGAATAATAACCTATCTCCAAGTTTGGGGCTTTTTACCCTTGAATCTTCACTTTGCGACCAAACTATTCACAGCAGTGCCAAATTTTCTGGGTCACTGAATGTGGGTGCCTGCTCCCTACAAGCAAACCAAAAATCAAACAAATGCGACTACTGACATTACAGCTGGCTCATGTTATAGAGAGGTACGTGGAAATTGAAAGGTGAGCACAAATGGTCAAAATCCGACATTTTCTAACCTTTCTGCCCGTTCGCAACTCAGAAAATGACAATGACCATCCTCATCTCGTTGTGAAGCTGGACATAGACAAGGGCACCCAGAAAAAGACCCACATTTCTCTAAAGAACTCGCCCACGGCTGCTGATGGCTGAATAATAACCTATCTCCAAGTTTGGGGCTTTTTACCCGCGAATCTTCACTTTGCGACTAAACTATTCACAGCAGTGCCAAATTTTCTCGGTCACTGAATGTGGGTGCCTGCGCCCTACAAGCAAACCAAAAGTCAAACATATGCGACTACTGACATTACAGCTGGCTCATGTTATAGAGAGGTACGTTGAAATTGAAAGGTGAGCACAAATGGTCAAAATCCGACATTTTCTCACCTTTCTGCCGGTCGCAGCTCAGAAAATGACAATGCCCATCCTCTTCTCGTTGTGTAGCTGGACATAGACAAGGGCACCCAGAAAAAGACCCACATTTCTCTAAAGAACTCGCCCACGGCTGCTGAAAGCTGAATAATAACCTATCTCCAAGTTTGGGGCTTTTTACCCGTGAATCTTCACTTTGCGACTAAACTATTCACAGCAGTGCCAAATTTTCTGGGTCACTGAATGTGGGTGCCTGCGCCCTACAAGCAAACCAAAAATCAAACATATGCGACTACTGACATTACAGCTGGGTCATGTTATAGAGAGGTACGTTGAAATTGAAAGGCGAGCACAAATGGTCAAAATCCGACATTTTCTCATCTTTCTGCCCGTTCGCAGCTCAGAAAATGACAATGACCATCCTCATCTCGTTGTGTAGCTGGACATAGACAAGGGCACCCAGAAAAAGACCCACATTTCTCTAAAGAACTCGCCCACGGCTGCTGAAAGCTGAATAATAACCTATCTCCAAGTTTGGGGCTTTTTACCCGTGAATCTTCACTTTGCGACTAAACTATTCACAGCAGTGCCAAATTTTCTGGGTAACTGAATGTGGGTGCCTGCGCCCTACAAGCAAACCAAAAATCAAACAAATGCGACTACTGACATTACAGCTGGCTCATGTTATAGAGAGGTACGTGGAAATTGAAAGGTGAGCACAAATGGTCAAAATCCGACATTTTCTCACCTTTCTGCCCGTTCGCAGCTCAGAAAATGACAATGACCATCCTCATCTCGTTGTGAAGCTGGACATAGACAAGGGCACCCACAAAAAGACCCACATTTTTCTAAAGAACTCGCCCACGGCTGCTGAAAGCTGAATAATAACCTATCTCCAAGTTTGGGGCTTTTTACCCGTGAATCTTCACTTTGCGACTAAACTATTCACAGCAGTGCCAAATTTTCTGGGTCACTGAATGTGGGTGCCTGCGCCCTACAAGCAAACCAAAAATCAAACAAATGCGACTACTGACATTACAGCTGGGTCATGTTATAGAGAGGTACGTTGAAATTGAAAGGTGAGCACAAATGGTCAAAATCCGACATTTTCTCACCTTTCTGCCCGTTCGCAGCTCAGAAAATGACAATGACCATCCTCATCTCGTTGTGTAGCTGGACATAGACAAGGGCACCCACAAAAAGACCCACATTTCTCTAAAGAACTCGCCCACGGCTGCTGAAAGCTGAATAATAACCTATCTCCAAGTTTGGGGCTTTTTACCCGTGAATCTTCACTTTGCGACTAAACTATTCACAGCAGTGCCAAATTTTCTGGGTCACTGAATGTGGGTGCCTGCGCCCTACAAGCAAACCAAAAATCAAACATATGCGACTACTGACATTACAGCTGGGTCATGTTATAGAGAGGTACGTTGAAATTGAAAGGTGACCACAAATGGTCAAAATCCGACATTTTCTCACCTTTCTGCCCGTTCGCAGCTTAGAAAATGACAATGACCATCCTCATCTCGTTGTGTAGCTGGACATAGACAAGGGTACCCAGAAAAAGACCCACATTTCTCTAAAGAACTCGCCCACGGCTGCTGAAAGCTGAATAATAACCTATCTCCAAGTTTGGGGCTTTTTACCCGTGAATCTTCACTTTGCGACTAAACTATTGACAGCAGTGCCAAATTTTCTGGGTCACTGAATGTGCGTGCCTGCGCCCTACAAGCAAACCAAAAATCAAACATATGCGACTACTGACATTACAGCTGGGTCATGTTATAGAGAGGTACGTTGAAATTGAAACGTGACCACAAATGGTCAAAATCCGACATTTTCTCACCTTTCTGCCCGTTCGCAGCTCAGAAAATGACAATGACCATCCTCATCTCGTTGTGTAGCTGGACATAGACAAGGGCACCCAGAAAAGACCCACATTTCTCTAAAGAACTCGCCCACGGCTGCTGAAAGCTGAATAATACCCTATCTCCAAGTTTGGGGCTTTTTACCCGTGAATCTTCACTTTGCGACTAAACTATTCACAGCAGTGCCAAATTTTCTGGGTCACTGAATGTGGGTGCCTGCGCCCTACAAGCAAACCAAAAATCAAACAAATGCGACTACTGACATTACAGCTGGGTCATGTTATAGAGAGGTACGTTGAAATTGAAAGGTCAGCACAAATGGTCAAAATCCGACATTTTCTCACCTTTCTGCCCGTTCGCAGCTCAGAAAATGACAATGACCATCCTCATCTCGTTGTGTAGCTGGACATAGACAAGGGTACCCAGAAAAAGACCCACATTTCTCTAAAGAACTCGCCCACGGCTGCTGAAAGCTGAATATTAACCTATCTCCAAGTTTGGGGCTTTTTACCCGTGAATCTTCACTTTGCGACTAAACTATTGACAGCAGTGCCAAATTTTCTGGGTCACTGAATGTGCGTGCCTGCGCCCTACAAGCAAACCAAAAATCAAACATATGCGACTACTGACATTACAGCTGGGTCATGTTATAGAGAGGTACGTTGAAATTGAAACGTGACCACAAATGGTCAAAATCCGACATTTTCTCACCTTTCTGCCCGTTCGCAGCTCAGAAAATGACAATGACCATCCTCATCTCGTTGTGTAGCTGGACATAGACAAGGGCACCCAGAAAAGACCCACATTTCTCTAAAGAACTCGCCCACGGCTGCTGAAAGCTGAATAATAACCTATCTCCAAGTTTGGGGCTTTTTACCCGTGAATCTTCACTTTGCGACTAAACTATTCACAGCAGTGCCAAATTTTCTGGGTCACTGAATGTGGGTGCCTGCGCCCTACAAGCAAACCAAAAATCAAACAAATGCGACTACTGACATTACAGCTGGGTCATGTTATAGAGAGGTACGTTGAAATTGAAAGGTCAGCACAAATGGTCAAAATCCGACATTTTCTCACCTTTCTGCCCGTTCGCAGCTCAGAAAATGACAATGACCATCCTCATCTCGTTGTGTAGCTGGACATAGACAAGGGCACCCAGAAAAAGACCCACATTTCTCTAAAGAACTCGCCCACGGCTGCTGAAAGCTGAATAATAACCTATCTCCAAGTTTGGGGCTTTTTACCCGTGAATCTTCACTTTGCGACTAAACTATTCACAGCAGTGCCAAATTTTCTGGGTCACTGAATGTGGGTGCCTGCGCCCTACAAGCAAACCAAAAATCAAACATATGCGACTACTGACATTAAAGCTGGCTCATGTTATAGAGAGGTACGTGGAAATTGAAAGGTGAACACAAATGGTCAAAATCCGACATTTTCTCACCTTTCTGCCCGTTCGCAGCTCAGAAAATGACAATGACCATCCTCATCTCGTTGTGTAGCTGGACATAGGCAAGGGCACCCAGAAAAAGACCCACATTTCTCTAAAGAACTCGCCCACGGCTGCTGAAAGCTGAATAATAACCTATCTACAAGTTTGGGGCTTTTTACCCGTGAATCTTCACCTTGCGACCAAACTATTCACAGCAGTGCCAAATTTTCTGGGTCACTGAATGTGGGTGCCTGCGCCCTACAAGCAAACCAAAAATCAAACAAATGCGACTACTGACATTACAGCTGGCTCATGTTATAGAGAGGTACGTGGAAATTGAAAGGTGAGCACAAATGGTCAAAATCCGACATTTTCTCACCTTTCTGCCCGTTCGCAGCTCAGAAAATGACAATGACCATCCTCATCTCGTTGTGAAGCTGGACATAGACAAGGGCACCCAGAAAAAGACCCACATTTCTCTAAAGAACTCGCCCACGGCTGCTGAAAGCTGAATAATAACCTATCTCCAAGTTTGGGGCTTTTTACCCGCGAATCTTCACTTTGCGACTAAACTATTCACAGCAGTGCCAAATTTTCTGGCTCACTGAATGTGGGTGCCTGCGCCCTACAAGCAAACCAAAAGTCAAACATATGCGACTACTGACATTACAGCTGGCTCATGTTATAGAGAGGTACGTTGAAATTGAAAGGTGAGCACAAATGGTCAAAATCCGACATTTTCTCACCTTTCTGCCGGTCGCAGCTCAGAAAATGACAATGCCCATCCTCTTCTCGTTGTGTAGCTGGACATAGACAAGGGCACCCAGAAAAAGACCCACATTTCTCTAAAGAACTCGCCCACGGCTGCTGAAAGCTGAATAATAACCTATCTCCAAGTTTGGGGCTTTTTACCCGTGAATCTTCACTTTGCGACTAAACTATTCACAGCAGTGCCAAATTTTCTGGGTCACTGAATGTGGGTGCCTGCGCCCTACAAGCAAACCAAAAATCAAACATATGCGACTACTGACATTACAGCTGGGTCATGTTATAGAGAGGTACGTTGAAATTGAAAGGCGAGCACAAATGGTCAAAATCCGACATTTTCTCATCTTTCTGCCCGTTCGCAGCTCAGAAAATGACAATGACCATCCTCATCTCGTTGTGTAGCTGGACATAGACAAGGGCACCCAGAAAAAGACCCACATTTCTCTAAAGAACTCGCCCACGGCTGCTGAAAGCTGAATAATAACCTATCTCCAAGTTTGGGGCTTTTTACCCGTGAATCTTCACTTTGCGACTAAACTATTCACAGCAGTGCCAAATTTTCTGGGTCACTGAATGTGGGTGCCTGCGCCCTACAAGCAAACCAAAAATCAAACAAATGCGACTACTGACATTACAGCTGGCTCATGTTATAGAGAGGTACGTGGAAATTGAAAGGTGAGCACAAATGGTCAAAATCCGACAGTTTCTCACCTTTCTGCCCGTTCGCAGCTGAGAAAATGACAATGACCATCCTCATCTCGTTGTGAAGCTGGACATAGACAAGGGCACCCAGAAAAAGACCCACATTTCTCTAAAGAACTCGCCCACGGCTGCTGAAAGCTGAATAATAACCTATCTCCAAGTTTGGGGCTTTTTACCCGTGAATCTTCACTTTGCGACTAAACTATTCACAGCAGTGCCAAATTTTCTGGGTCACTGAATGTGCGTGCCTGCGCCCTACAAGCAAACCAAAAATCAAACATATGCGACTACTGACATTACAGCTGGGTCATGTTATAGAGAGGTACGTTGAAATTGAAAGGTGACCACAAATGGTCAAAATCCGACATTTTCTCACCTTTCTGCCGGTCGCAGCTCAGAAAATGACAATGCCCATCCTCTTCTCGTTGTGTAGCTGGACATAGACAAGGGCACCCAGAAAAAGACCCACATTTCTCTAAAGAACTCGCCCACGGCTGCTGAAAGCTGAATAATAACCTATCTCCAAGTTTGGGGCTTTTTACCCGTGAATCTTCACTTTGCGACTAAACTATTCACAGCAGTGCCAAATTTTCTGGGTCACTGAATGTGGGTGCCTGCGCCCTACAAGCAAACCAAAAATCAAACATATGCGACTACTGACATTACAGCTGGGTCATGTTATAGAGAGGTACGTTGAAATTGAAAGGCGAGCACAAATGGTCAAAATCCGACATTTTCTCATCTTTCTGCCCGTTCGCAGCTCAGAAAATGACAATGACCATCCTCATCTCGTTGTGTAGCTGGACATAGACAAGGGCACCCAGAAAAAGACCCACATTTCTCTAAAGAACTCGCCCACGGCTGCTGAAAGCTGAATAATAACCTATCTCCAAGTTTGGGGCTTTTTACCCGTGAATCTTCACTTTGCGACTAAACTATTCACAGCAGTGCCAAATTTTCTGGGTCACTGAATGTGGGTGCCTGCGCCCTACAAGCAAACCAAAAATCAAACAAATGCGACTACTGACATTACAGCTGGCTCATGTTATAGAGAGGTACGTGGAAATTAAAAGGTGAGCACAAATGGTCAAAATCCGACATTTTCTCACCTTTCTGCCCGTTCGCAGCTGAGAAAATGACAATGACCATCCTCATCTCGTTGTGAAGCTGGACATAGACAAGGGCACCCAGAAAAAGACCCACATTTCTCTAAAGAACTCGCCCACGGCTGCTGAAAGCTGAATAATAACCTATCTCCAAGTTTGGGGCTTTTTACCCGTGAATCTTCACTTTGCGACTAAACTATTCACAGCAGTGCCAAATTTTCTGGGTCACTGAATGTGCGTGCCTGCGCCCTACAAGCAAACCAAAAATCAAACATATGCGACTACTGACATTACAGCTGGGTCATGTTATAGAGAGGTACGTTGAAATTGAAAGGTGACCACAAATGGTCAAAATCCGACATTTTCTCACCTTTCTGCCCGTTCGCAGCTCAGAAAATGACAATGACCATCCTCATCTCGTTGTGTAGCTGGACATAGACAAGGGCACCCAGAAAAAGACCCACATTTCTCTAAAGAACTCGCCCACGGCTGCTGAAAGCTCAATAATAACCTATCTCCAAGTTTGGGGCTTTTTACCCGTGAATCTTCACTTTGCGACTTAACTATTCACAGCAGTGCCAAATTTTCTGGGTCACTGAATGTGGGTGCCTGCGCCCTACAAGCAAACCAAAAATCAAACAAATGCGACTGCTGACATTAC